TAAAAATATTCTTTGACCTTGCCATCTTTGTGTGATATTTTGCTTTTCTAAAACTTTAGTGAAACAGATAAATAAGAATATACACAAGAAATTTTATTTGCTAGTTCTGCTCTGCTTCTTAGATGGTACTTGATCTTAATTCTTATCAGTAAAATAGTATTTAGCTACATGACAAAATCAATCTCTTTTCTAAACTCAAAACACTTAGTATAATAATGTACTCCAGAGTTCTTTATGCTAGAGACCACCATGTTAAAGTCTATAGAATTAGAATAAATTTTTTAGTGCTTCTCTCAGTTAATAAACATCCTTGAACAAGTTTATGGCTCTCATCCTCATTGCCCAACACAAAACTATTTTTTTTGTGATTTTTTTTTCTTTTCGTGTGTGTGAAATTCAATTGCATGGTTCTCTAGTGTGAAAAATATTTACACTCTCACAGTTTATATGCATGTGTTGCTTCAGTTTTACGGTGGTATGCAGCTTCTAAGTGTCAAGCCCAGACAATTGAATTGACACCTTCATACATTACATGTGCTCCTGGTGACTAGGTCGGGCAGCAGTTATCAATATTTCAGCCTACCACTGCAACCAGTCTTAGGCATTTAATGTTATTTGGGATATCAGGTAAGTATTCTTATTTGATTATTAAGGTACTTCCATACCTCAGCAGTGCCTCACACATTGCCCAATGCACTTTACAGTTGGTCCTCTGCCTCACCCTACATCAGCAACTGAGCTCTGGAATGATCCAAACCTTGCTTTCTGTTTTCCTATCAGTTAATTTTCAGAATAAAAGTAAATATTGTCATATATATATTTTTTTTCTTTTTTTTTTGAGACAAGAGTCTCACTATGTCGCCCTCAGTTAAAGTTCTATGGCTTCACAGCTCACAGCAACCTCAAACTCTAGGGCTTAAGCGATTCTCTTGCCTCCACCTCCAAGTAGCTGAGACTACAGGCACCTGCCACAACACTTGGCTACATTTTATTGTTGTTGTTGCAGTTGTTTAGCTGGCCTGGGCAAGTGAAAACCTGCCACCCTCAGTATATGTGGCTGGTGCCATTAGTACTGGGTTTGGGGGCCAAGCCTTTTTTTTTTTTGCAGTTTTTGGCCAGGGCTGGATTTGAACCACCTCCGGCATATGGGGCCGGCACCCTACTCCTTTGAGCCACAGGCACCGCCCCACCGAGCTTATATATTATATTTTAATCCCAGCGTGGCTTCTACAGTGTCTCAAAAGAGAACAGAACCCAAAAAATGAAAAATTACAAAAGAAGGAGATTGTTCAGTGATAAGTAGACATATGACTACGTTTTTTGTCAGGGCAAATAATAAAGCACTCTACTTAATTTGTAGGGAATTTGTACACATTCTCAAAGACTGTAATTTGAAAAGGCATTATGTGTGAAAACATGCTGCCAAATTCAATGTGTATGAAGGATTGTTTT